GCAAGTTTTTGAATGGGTGTAAACCAGATACTTAACTCTGCTGCTGTGGGTTAGGGCGTGTTATTTATTTGCTTTGTAAATGCAATGTTTATTGTTTCCTGTCTTTTTCTTCCCTTTCAGTTCCAGTAAGATAGAGGCGGGAAACTCCAGGCCTCAAGGGTGTCTGCTGGATTTAGATGTGTCCTTGATCCAGCACAGCTAATTTAAATGACTCAACATGTATTGAAGTTCTCCAGAGGCCTGGTATTGAACTAATCATTTGATTCAGGTGTGTTGATCCAGGGTGAGATCTAAAACCTGCAGGACACCGGTCCTTAAGGCTTGGAGTTCCCCACCGCTGCAGTAAGACATCAATAACCGATGTGCAATGTGCAAAAGATCAAATATGGACAATATATAAGTATTGGTGGTGCTGAGGTTGGTGGTAGGCGATGGAAGCATGCAGTCCAAATTAATCTCTGCTTAGAGCCACTCAACACCTCGTGCTGGTGTTCCAGGTAAACTGGTTCTCGTGTTAACTGGTTAAATTTGTTTACTTATTCGACTCAGTGTTCCAGATGTTGGATAAGCAGATTTATCATTTTCACTGAGTGTTTATCTGTCTGTCAGTGGGTTATGTGGTTTGACAAGATTAAAGACCTCTGCAAAAAAAAAAAACAATCTCCAGCTCCTAGAAATGTGCATCAAAATCATCTCCCGACAACAATGAAATTATTTTAATTAAAAAATAACAATAAACTTTTGACGAGCCAGTGTTTTCCTCACGACACCATCGATCAGCTCAATAGACCTTTGAGTTTACCTGCATATATCCTGTCGACCTGTCAGCTGTTTAACATCTGCTGATTCAGGAAACACGCCCAAGTTAACCAGTGATAACAACCAAAGTTTAATGTGATCAGCTGCTGCTCGATATAACATGATGTCATCGTAATCTTCTGCATAAGATAAGCAAACAAACACACTGAGATGACTACAGAGCACTTTATAAGCAAATCTGTTGCTTTAATGAGAATCTGGGCTGTTTGCTTTTGAAATAAACAGATTTCCTGACACACATCTATCCGATTGGTACTCATGTACCTCAGTAATGTAGTTTTTGCCACCATTTGTTTAAATGCAAAAAACATCATCCTCTCAAAGTGGAGCAAACCAGTTAAGCTGGAACACCAGCTCTGATTATAACAAATAGACTGGAAACGCCTTTCATTTACATAACAATATCCATGCCTGCAGGCAATGAATTCAATCTCACTCGCCCATCACTTGAAACTCTTTTCTTTGATGCAACATTCTGCCTATATCAAGATAGAAAACGCAGTTTCGCTTTTGTTTCACTGCAAATCAATTAAAGAGCAGCAGTGGATCTCAAAGATATATTTATCATCTCGCTCGCATTTGATTTTATTTACCATCAGATGGGCCACAATTACGATTTCAGGTGGCTCCTCGCTGCAAACACGCTGCTATTAATGATTACATTTGAACAGCTGTTAAAAAAAAAACTTCCTTAAAAATCGTGAGTCACAGCGTTTGGCAGACTGCCCACTCGTCTGTTTGTTTAGCTACTCACCTAATGCCGCTGTCTCGAAAGTCAGAAGAAGAAGAAGAAGAAGAATGTGAGACATTTCTGCAGAACAACTCACAGCCGACACCATGAACCTGCTGGAAACTCGATATGTTTACATTTGTTGTGCCAAGGAGTCAAGGACGGTCTGCTGCGTTTAAGGACACGCCCCAGTCTTTACTCTCTGCGTGACTGTGATCACACTGTGGTTTTTTTGTTGTCTGTTTTTGTAGAGTGGAAATTTATAATCACTTCGTACATCAGTTATCTAACTATAAAAACTGTGCTGATCTATTTTATGTCTCACTGTAGCCCAACAGAACCGGACTGTGTTATTCATCATGTGGTCGAACCCACAGCGCGCACACTGTTAGGTTCAAGGAGACCTGGGCTGGAAACCTGCATCAGCATTAGCTGTCTCAGCGGGGTTTAGCTCTGAAGCTGCACACACTGTTTATCTCGCCTCAGATCACACGCTAGTGGCAGGGCGCAAAAACATATTGCAGTCTATGTAGTCAGCTGTTAACCTCAACCATCTCTCTCGTCGTCAGCACCCCGCTATATCCTCCTACACACCGCAGCACTGCCCTGATCTCTCTCCCCTGTTTGAGTCGCCTAGAGGAAGTGAGACCATCCAGGAAGTGTTTATATTGTTTATTAGTGTTTATTATATATTAATTTTGCTTTTTGTTTTGTTTCTATTATTCTACTATAGATGCTGGAGAAATAATATTTAGTTTCAACCTGTGTATGTAAATGTGAAATGACTGACTGCCCTCTAGTGTCCGTCAGCGGTCACTGCAGGTTTAATTCTTACTCATAATGATCGAAATGTTTAACTAACACTGCGCAAGATGAACTAACTGTAATAAACTATCTTCAGCAGCAGTTTTACAACCAGAAAACCCAAAAGATGTCGAGACTCTGCACGTTGATGCATTCAGGGACATCAAGGGAAAAGCGCTTATTCTAACCCAGGATACGTCTGAGGACACCTTCCGCTTGCTTTCTAAGTGCTCACGTTTAAAAGGCTTCATTTAACAACAAGCTGTTCCACATGTGTGCGGGTAGAGAAAGAAAAGGGACTAAAAAAATGTCGAATCGAAGAATGACATGAACTCACCTGATCACCGTCTTTGGCTTCCTGAGGTCAAACCGCCCCCCTTTGCATTCATGTGTGCGGACGACCGTCACACGGACGTCCATGAGGGAGAAAAGGAATAAAAAGCAAAACACTGCGTTTAAATCCTCCCAGTCTCACAATCCTCGCTGGTTTCGATCAGGTGGCACTTTGAATGAAGCATGGTTGCAGCACAGCAGCGCATGTCCGACACTTTTCTTCCGCATCGCTTTTTTCAAGTTAACTTTATTAACACACTGACACGTTCAACAAGTTAAAGGGCATCCTGTAGTTTGCGCGTAACAGTGCACCAGCGAGTAAATAATAATAAATAAAGAGCAATAAAATAAACAAAAACAATAAAAGGATGTTTTATATAATATGTTTTAATAGAATAGAATAGAATAGCTCGATATTGTCACTGTTACAAGAACAATGAAAGCCAGTTTGGCATCTCTACATGTGTGTAAAATACACAATAGCGTTAAGAATTTGCTCAACAACACAGACAAATTTCCATTTACACAAGAAAGATATAAAGATATATAAAGTCTACTCTCACAGCTGTCATTTCTGTGCATGAGAAGTTAATCAAATAACTGAAAGTTTAAATTTTGTTATATGGTGCAGGCCAGAATAACAGCTTACATGAATGTCCTACATTTTACACGTTGAGGTTGGTTCATTCAGGTCATGATAATTTCCTCAAAGACTAAGCGACAAACACTAAAACAAACTTTATGAAGGTTTAAAACTAATATTCTTTAGGTGCCCACAGCTTTGACATGTTTCATTCGTTCCCGTTCATCGCTTTAGTAAACTCTGTGATTCATATTTCAGCTTCAAACCTGAAACTTACAGGACTTTCCTTTTTTCTTTCTGTCTTTTTTTTTTTCGTAGAGCTGCTTCAGAGAAACCACAGGGCCTCTTAACTGCGCTGCCGAGAGGAAGGAGGAGGGTTCAAGCGCTTCAGTGGAACAAGATCTCAGATCTGTGTGGCACGATGGGACGAACACGTCTTCTGTGGCCGCTCTGTAAGTACCACATGCTGCCTTTAAATCTTATTGCGTGACTTGAAGGTGTTCTGCTGACACTTAATACTCAATAACTGTGATGATGACCTCGAGATAAATGGGCAAGAGACGAGACTACAAAGAGGAAGATGCAACTTTTAGGATGGTGTAAGAAGGTTTAAGTAGAAGTGTGCACAGCAGCTCTTTTTATCCAGCTGCTTTACATCTGTAACAGGAGGTTATAACATTTTACTTTTTAAACGTCATTAAAAATGTGATTTTGCACATAAACCACTGCAGTTTTAAACGGTATCCTCACCTCCTCCTACACTGCACATCCTGTTTAAAGAAGTCGTTTTGAGTTCATCATTTGGAAATTAATTTGTGGTCACCGTTCTGCTGCTCCTATGAACTGATGTTGGTATCTGTTGTGCTTCGTTTTCAGCCCTGATGTCGCTGCTCTGCTGCACAACTAACCAAGGTGAGGGCACGACCTGCTTTATTACCAACTAACACTTTTTATAAAAAAATAAAAGAGTGTAAAAACAGCTGTGCTGAAAGTGACAAAAGTAGAGACAGAATAGAAACTGGTTAGGCTCAGATGTACCAGCTTTAATGCACGGTTGGGGAAGTGAAACTCTGTGTGGTAAAATTCAGTCAAACATTTAATAAAATGATTTGATTCAGTTTAATATTTGAATAAAAATCCTGCTGATTGTATTTTTAATGATATTATAAAAGCTCAGCCTTCTGGTTTCAAATAGTGTCAGCTAGTTACCAAGACGTGAGCAGAAGCAGCTCCTGACACGGAAGTCAATAAATTTCAGTGAACAAGCTCGTCTCAAATTTAAGGCATTATTAGTAATGAAGAGGGTGGATGTGATTAGTATCACGTTGTCTTCAGAGTGACCTCTAAATTACAGTTAAACTGATCAGATGTGTTTTTGACATCAAGACACAAATTCATGAATATCCAGTCACATACATTTTCAGCTTCAACAGACAGGCTACTTAAAAATATGCTGTTACAGTTCGGGATCGTTTTTTCCTATCAAACATGTCCAAATTTTAAATCTTTTTTTTCTAATTTTGGTTGTGTATGATGTTATATTGTAATATGTGATAAAAAAAAAAAAAAGCCCCCAAACGATTTTTAACACCTGCTTGAGGGGGAGGAAAGTTAGCATTGAGTGAGAGGCTTAAAGAGTTTGTTTTAAAGAGATGATGAACTGAGAGGCACATAGGACACGTATGTAAAACCCACAGTGTTTGGCCACATGAATATCTGCACAGGTGGTTAGTTCGGCGTGTCAGCCATCATGATTCTGTCTAACAAACAGAACAGCAGCGCTCACAGAAAACAGAAAAACGATACTAAGAAGAATATTTACTGAGTGCTGCTGTTCTGTTTGTTATTCTATTTTTCAGAACAACCAAATTTAGGATTTGGAGTTGAGTGCACTGTTACTGGCAGGTAGATATTGTTATATATAACAATATCTACCTGCCAGTGCCTTTTAACATCTACTAGTATATCAGGGTGGAGATGAAATTCATCAGGGTGATTTGTGACAGGATAGCAGCACAATTGAAAAGGTTTTGATGGTTTTGATGGTTTATTTTAGCATCTGAACATTGAGGTGTTGCACTAGTAGCACTTGTGGATCCTCCATCTTTATAACAGAGATATGCTCTCAATGTGGAAATAAATAAATTATTGTTTATGATTTTTGATTTATATTTATATATTATATATATTTATATTTATGATCCACTCAGCTCACGTAAGTGTGAGTCCCAGCAGCTCTCAGGTCTTTGAAGGAGATCCTGTGTCTCTGAGCTGTGAGGAGGACGACAGCTCTGCTGGATGGACTCTGAGGAGAAACACAAGCAGAGACACCAGAGCTGAGTGTGAGGAGTGGGGACAACTAACTGGTTCTTCGTGTACCACAAGCAGTATCGTCCTACTGGACAGTGGAGTTTACTGGTGTGAGTTCAATCAGAGTACCATCAGTAACATGGTTAACCTGACAGTCACTGGTAAGCTGAGTGTGTGGAGT